TCCATCCCCCGGCACTGCCCATCCTTGTACCAGGTGGTGGCACCATCGGTCCCCCAGCCCTGGCAGGTCAGTGTCACCCGGTCCCACAGCACCGCCGGCCTCCAGGGGGGCTCCACCAGGAGCTGGGTGGTCTGGGCACCTGCAGGTGACAGGGGACACCAGCCTGCCAGGGCCAGTGTGGGGCTGGGGACAGTGGGGTGGGGCCATGGCATCCCCTGAGGACTCACCAGCGAGGCCGAGGGTCTGGGCTGGAAGGGAAAAGAGATAGGGCGGGTGACAGTGGCACTGCAGGGAAGGAGACACCAGGGACAGGGTGTGGTGGCTGTCCCCAAAAACTCTCCCTGTGGGGACAGCAGTTCTTGTGGGAAAGTGTGTGCGGGTGGTCTCAAAAAGATTTGGAGTGGCAGGGGGACATGTCTGTGTCGCAGCCACCTGTGCACCACATCCCTGTGGCACAGACACCTGGGGATCTGGGACACCTAGGCCACCCTTGACTGAGGCAGAACATGGGGACACTGTGGACACCCTGGGCACAAGGACACCACAGACACAGCCCATGCTGGCCCAGGTCACCCCACCAGCTCATGGTCCCATCCCTGTGATCCCATCCCCATGGCCACATCCTCATGGTTCTTGTCACTTTCTGTCCCTGCATCCCAATTCCCTTGTCCTTATCTCCAGAGCTACCTGAGCCCAAAGGTGCCAGTCCCCACATTCCTGTTCCCACATTTCCATCCCCAGATTCCTGCCCCCCTATTCCTGTCCCCAAAGCCACCCTACATCCCCAGTCCCATCAAGGTGCACTGTGGGTAACATGGACTGGCACTGCTGGCATTGGGGACCTCAGGGAACCCACAACCGCCCTGTGCCCCCTCTCCATCCCTGGGGTGTCAGGCCCGTACCTGGGGCACTCACCCCACAGAAGCAGTGCCACTTTCCCGGCCATCCCAGTGTCCCCAGCCATGTGCACTGGCTGTCACTCTCTGCTGTGGCCACCACTCCCCTGGCTGGCGGGTCTTTGGATGAAGGGGAAGGAAGTGAGGTCACATCTTGCCCTCATGCATAGGTGGCCTTTGATAGGGGAAGGATAGGGACAGGCTGGGGACACAGGTGGGTGGGACAAAGTAGGACATGGGGTACCCAGGAGTGGGGGGCTTGGTGGGTTTGGGGAGGCAGGAATGGGGTCACTGGGAAATGGGGGTGCCGTTGGAATGAGCGTCCCCATAGCTGGGGGTGAAGCTGGTTGGCCAATGGAGAACGTCCCGGGTAGCTAGCCAGCCTGCTTGCAGCCGTGGGGGCACTCTCCCAACTCACGTATTGGGCACAGCACCTAAGGCTAGTGCTTCACGCTGCAGTGACAGCACTTCCTTCAGACATGGCCGTAGACGAGCTTCAATCCGAGAGAAAAGAAGAGGAGACTCTTCAGTTGGTGGCAAGTTCCGGTTTATTAGAGCCCCAAGGAGGCCAAGAACCTAAGAGCCACGAGGGTGGGGATACATCACATTATAAAGGGAGTGGGCGGTAGGGGTGGTAACAGTTTGGGAACAAATGGGAGTCCAGGGAGGGGGTAACACACAAAAGATTGGCACGAGGGGAGAACCAACAGTGGGGAATCAAGGGAGGGGCCCCGGCCCCTTAGCCAATCACCTGACACCCTTGTTAGAAGGTTCTAGAGAAGGAGGCAGGAGTGCCACGTGACTGATAGGCAGCCGGGGGTGGGGTTTGAAGGGGATACAATAGTAACCGGGGTAACAAGGGAGGAGCTGGGTGATTGACATATATCTGAAGAGGGGAGGAGAACCTGGGCAGAACCATTACAGCTCAACAGTGGGGGAACTGAACATACTAACATAACAAACCACAACATGGGGGGAGTGAGGGATGGGAGTCCCAGGGGAATGTGGGCTCCATGGATTTGAGTTCATGGGATGGGGCAATGGTGGGTCCTAGGAGGATTTCATGGGATGGAATGAACAGCGGAGGGTTCCTTGGGAATGGGGTCCTGGGCCATGGAGATACTGGGGAATGTCAGTACTGGGAATGGGGCTGCAGAGAGGGTGGAACATGAGGAATGGGGGTCCCATGTTTTGGTTCCCGGGGAATGAGGGTGCCAGGGATAGGAAGTGGCTGGGTGAGCCCATGGGTTGCAGCTCCTTCCCTGGGTGCTTCAGATTTTTGGGTGACCCAGAGCCAGCACAGCCCCCACAAGGTGCCAGTGGCCTGGGGGTCACCCCAGACAGATTTCAAGGGGCTCTGGGTCTGTGCTCCCCCAGCCCGCAGTGACTTTTCCCTCTCTTTATTTCCAGTTTCACCATTTTACCCCTCAATTTCACAACCCCAAGTTCATGCCTTGATGGTCCTCAGGGGCACCTGAGCAGGGAATGGGCTGGGGAAGGCCAGGGTGGGGGAATCAGGGGTGAGGGGTCTGCAGGGAGGTCTGGGGAGGCTGTGGGGGATGGGGAGGTCCAGCTTTTACCCCCTCCCCAACTTTCACTTTTTCTCTCCTGCAAAAGAAGGAGGAGGCCGTTTGACACCTTTCTCACATGGGGGTGGGTTCTCTTCTGGGGGGTACATCCAGGGGGCTCCTGTCCTGTGGGGATCCTTTCCCAGAGGGGACACGGGCTGTACAAGGGTGTCCTGACCTGGGGCATGGCAGCTCCGGGGGACTCCAGACTTCTCCATTCTTGCTCGTCCCCTGCAGGATCTGAGCCAGCAAGAGCAGCTGGGGAATGGAGCCCCAGGCAGGAAGGAGTTCCCAAACTCCTTCTCCTTGAAGCCAGTGGCCATCCAAGGGTGGGGCCCAGCCATGGCCCAGCCCCACTGCACAGGGATGGCCATTGCCCAGCCCTGCTCTGCCCAGCCCCAGGGGGCAGCCAGCACCTGAGTGTCCCCCCTGCCCCCTTGGCTATAATTCTGGCAGCTTTAGAGCTGCTGCGGAGGTGAGAATTCTGTGGATGGAAAAAGACCTGTCTGTGGTTTGCTCAGCCCTGCAAGAAGCACAAAACCCCAAGGGAGCCCAAGCAGTGGCTCTGAGAGTGTGGAAGGATAGAATGTAAGAAAATAAAGATAGTGCAGAAAGTAGCCTCACACCTGAAGAGTTGCAGCTCTACTAATCACCAAAGATTAAGAACAAGCCTGCCCTTAACAGGCCACAGCTGTGTCCAATGAGAAGACGAGTGCTACAAAAGAGTGAGTTAGCTGGATAAAGAGAGTTGGTGTTTTTTAGCTATGCTGTGAAGATGAAAGATTTAGTGCTGCTAGGAATTGCCCATAAGAAATCACCAAGAAGGTATGGGAACCTTTGCAATAAGATGACAACATGAGAGGGCTTTTGATGGTTTTTCAGAGTAGGGCTAGCTGGAAACCCTCCCCTGCAGGGGCTGCTCTGAGGGAGCCAGTCCATGAGATAATCATTTGTTCATCTTGGTAAGGAAATGAGAGACCCAAGAACTACTGCAAAGACAACAATAATCCGCTCAACAACCTAAGCTTGACCGATCTTCTTGAACAAAACCAGCAACCTTCAGGAACCTCATGGAAATAATGCTTGGATTTGGATTCTGGCCGCCAGATAAGAGAAAAACGTGTGGATATATCAGTCAGTGGCTCTGCCCGTGGCCATGGTGGGTTTCTGGGGAGTGTCCCTTGTCTGGATTCCAGGTGTCCCCAAAGCTGCTCCATCCCTGCCCTCCTCATCTGAGTGAAAGGCTGAGGTTTGCAGGAATTGTGGCACAAAACCACCAGAAGTGCTGCTGTGGATTCAAGACCTGCCTGGGGTCAGGTGCAGCTTTCCTTCCATTTGGGATCATAGAGAGTGGTTGAAGGTGTTGTGCAGGGCATGTGCCAGGCCCCAGGACACTGCTACGCTGCCACTGGGCACTGGGATCCAACCTGCTGCCTTGGCGGCTTCTGCCCGCTGCCGGTGGTGGTGCCGGGACCGATTGGTGGCCGTGAGTTTGCAAAAGGAGCGATTTCCCCTCCTCCCTCCCGCCCGAGGCCGCCATGGCCCCTGAGGGGATGGAGCTGGAGCTGGGCGCCCCTGCTGGCCGGGAGTGCTCCCTGCAGCGGCCCCTGCTGGCCGCGGTTATAACTGCCACAAAAACCAACAGCGCTGAGCAGGAGGGAAAGTTCTGGGTTTGTGTTGTTGGTTCTGTTCTGGATTATAAATTTTCTGGTTTATAAATTCTGTTCTGATTTATTAATTTCTCAGTAAAGAGCTGTTATTCATTTCCTACACTTTTGCCCGGAAGCCTTATCTTTTTTGCAACTAAAAAATGTTTTAGATATGGGTCTTCTTTCCATTCCAGGAATGTTCCTACTTTCCTTGGCAGATATTTCTTATTTGAATGAATTGCCAACTCCTGGGTTCCAGTGTGGATGGGACAGACACCCCAATAGGCGACAGGGTCAGGGACTTGGCTACCTCATGTTCTGCATTTTAAGCCAGTTGGGCCACCAAGGGCCCACTTCTAGTCATGTGGACACTCAGGAGCTGGCTTTGGCAGAGTGGCATGCTGTCACCAATATGCCATGGTTAACAGACTGATGGACAGACGGGGCTCTGTCTCACCAAAAGCAAAGCGTGACCCACCCCTGCCACATGCAGGTGTTCCAAAATGTCTCCAGACATCAAACTTTTCCTGCCTCTGACACCCCACCCTGTGCCATGGCCTGATCCCGACTGCCCTGGAAAAGGGGGAGGCTCCAGCACCCCCACGGGGCTTTTGTGACATCCTTGTGTGGGGAACACTGCAGAGGATGAGTTTGGGACAGGGGACAAGAGAATGCAGAGCCCCCTGAAGGCCACTTTGGGCATCAGAGCAAGGAAGGTTGAGGCTCTGCCAGGTTCCTCTGGTGGAGGAAAGGTTTTGGGGGAAATGTCTGGGGTTTATTCCTTTTTGGGGGTTTTCCCTGGAAATCGTTCCTTGTGTGACCGTTTGGACTCTGAACGCTGTTGTTGTTGCTGTTGGTTTTATTCTCTCTCTGCTGTTTCAGGAAATTGTTCTTCTCTCAGGTCTTTGGGATCTTTGTGCCCCCACAGGGAGGGATTGGGACAATTTTTAGTGGCAGCACACACATGAGTGGGTGCCCATGGGTGGGGACCCCCAGTGCCCCCAGTTCCCCCCAGTGTCACAGCACATTCCCGTAGATGTCACCGGGTTCCCGCGGTCGCCCCTGGGGTCCCTGCAGCTCCGCGTAGGTCACCTGGGGATCCTGGAGGGTGGTGGCTCGGGAGGATGCTGCGAGAGACATGGGCTTTGGGATGTGGGTGGGGTGAGACTCGTGGGTGACGTGTCCCTCTGTGTGTGTCCCCCCCGTACTCACCCCCTGCCCTCTTGGTGACCACGACGTGGGTGTACAGCACCTCCCCCTCCTCTGGGGGGGCCGGGGGATCCGGGGGGGCCCTGAGGGAACAAAGGGAATGTGGGGGAGGGAATGGGAGGTCTCTGGGGGTTGGGGTAAAAGGAGAGCAGTTGGTTTGAGCCTCCCACTCACCTTTCCTGGTTCTTTCTAGCCGCTGCAATGGAAGCAGGGGAGGAGTAACTGTGGGGTCCCTGGGCCCTGAAGCCTGTCAGGATTCCTGAACTCCCATAAGGACCCAAAGTATCCCTGAAGCCCCCCAGAACTTATGCACCTCATCAGTGCCCCCAACCAACTCAGCCTCAAAAACCCAAAGCCTGCCAAGGAGAGACAGTCCTCAAACACCCCCAGGGCTCCTTAAAGAACCCCCAACATCCCTGCACAACCCTCCAGCACCTCCCCAAACTCTACAGGACCTGCAGACAAGGTCACAATTCTGAGGCTTGGATGCTTCCCTATCACTTCCCAACTCTGAGGGCCTCTACAGCTCCGTGGGACGCCTGTCTCCCCATTGTCACCCACCCATACGATGCCAGCGGTGCCAGGCCACAATGACAGCCACGAGCAGGAGGAGGAACAAAAGGGCCCCACTGACCCCTGCGGCTACTGCAAGAAACAGAAGGGCACACATCGGGGTCACCCATCACCCCAGGGGTCCTGCACCCCACAGTTACCCCGTGTGACCCCCACCTGTGTCCCTCTGTGTCCCTTTGTTCTGTGGTATCACCTCCAGGGCCAGCTCAGGGCTGAGTGCCTGGAACACGCGGTGCCTGTCCTGTCCCAGCTGGTTGGTGGCCATGCACTGGTAGGTGCCCACATGTCCCACATCGACGGTCCTGAGCTCCAGGAGGGGACCCTGGGCCACCTCCTGCCCATTGTGCAGCCAGGTGAAGGTGACAGGGGCTGAGCCCACCTGCACTGAGCAGTGCAGGGTCACGGGGTCACCTGCACGCACCTGGTGTGACAGGGGACCAGGGGTGATGGTGGCATTGGCCACAGGCACTGTGGGGACAGAGACAGGGCTGAGAGCACTGGGAGGGGCTGGCAGCCGGTGTGGGGGGATAGGGACAGTGGGGGATGGGTGTGGTGGGGGATGTCGGGGATGAGGTCACACCATGGGGGTGTGACGAGGGGACAAGGGGAGTGATGGAAGGACCTGGGAATGGTGTCTGGGGGACATGGAGATGCCCAACCAGGGGACCCGAGCAGACCATGGGGGCTCCCCATGCCCATCCCCGCACTCACTGCACACTGTGACGGGGAGCCGGGTGCTGCTCTTCTGCACGGTCCCCCTTGCAATATACCTCACAGCCATAATTCCCCGAATGGGAGATCCCCATGATGGACAACAGAAGCTGTGGGGACACCTGCACGCCCCCCCCGCCTCCCCCCACCTGCCCATCCCAGTAGAACACGTGCAGGAGGGGGGCTCAGGGCCACAGGGGACTGGGGGTGCTGAGGCAGCTGAGAGTCAGGAGGGACCCCTCGGTGGGCACGGGGGGACCCTCAAGCAGCAGCACCGAGAAGAGCTCAGGGCAGGAAAGGGGAGGAGAGGACTGTGACTCTGAGTCCACTAGGAAGGGGCTTTGGGGGTGTCAGGAGATTGGAGTTCAAGCCGTGCAGGTTCTCACCGTGCACTGTCACTGTCACTGCTGCTGACTGTGACATAAAAGACCTCACCAAGCCCCCACAGCTGTAGCGGCCACTGTGGTGCAGCTGCAGGGGGGACAGGGACAGCTCAGTCCCATTGATGAACCCCCTCAGATCCTTCTTGTCCCGGTAAAATCGCACCCCGGCGACAGGGTTGTTCTGCCAGCCCCGGCAGCGCAGTGTCACCGTGTCCCCCTCCAGCAGCGCCTGTGCTGGCACCTGCAGCACCAGATGATCTATGGGACAGGAGGGTCCCATCTCACTGAGGGGCTCAAGAAAAGTGAGGTGGATGCCCATGGCACTGAGGACATGTGGCTGGACTGGGGTGCAGTGGGACGTCCAGGTGTCCTGGAGAGAGGCTCTCACCACACAATGGGTGTGAGGCCACCCAGGGAGTGGAGCCCACCCAGCCCTGTTGGGGGCCACCCTGATCATTAAAGATCCCCCCTCACCATCTGAGACTGTCACAGGGGGGCTGAGCCCGGTGCCGGGTCTGTCACATGTGTAGGTGCCTCTCTCAGTGACAGAGACGTGGCTGGGTCCCTGCTGCCTCCAGCGCTGCCCGTCCTTGTACCAGGTGGTGGCACCGGCAGTCCCTGAGCCCTGGCAGGTCAGTGTCACCCGGTCCCACAGCACCGCCGGCCTCCAGGGGGGCTCCACCAGGAGCTGGGTGGTCTGGGCGCCTGAGGGTGACAGGGGACACCAACCTGCCAGGGCCAGTGTGGGGCTGGGGACAGTGGGGTGGGGCCATAGCATCCCCCGAGGACTCACCAGTGAGACCGAGGGTCTGGGCTGGAAGGGAGAAGGGACAGGGCTGGGTGAGGGTGGCACTGCAGGGACAGCACCATCTGGGGTGCAGGGTGTGGGGGCTGTTCCCAAACTGTCCCCATGGGAACAGCAGTTCTTGTGAGAAAGTGTATGGGGGTGGTCCCCAAATGATTTGGCAAGGCAGGGGGACATGTCTGTGTCACAGCCACCCATGTACCACATCCCTGTGGCACAGACACCTTGGGAATAGGGACACTGTGACCACCCTGGGCTGGGGCAGAGCATGGGGACACTGTGGACACCCCAGGCCTAAGGACACCATAGACACAGCCCATGCTCGCCCAGGTCGCCCCCACCAGCTCATGATCCCCTCCCCATGATCCCATCCCCATGGCCACATCCTCACCGTTCTTGTCCCCTTCTGTCCCTGTATCCCAGTTCCCTTGTCCCTATGCCCAGAGCTACCTGAGCCCAAAGGTGCCAGTCCCCACATTCCTGTTCCCACATCCCCATCCCCAAATTCCTGCCCCCCATTCCTGCCCCCTGTTCCTGTTCCCAAAGCACCCTACATCCCCAGTCCCACCAAGGTCCACTGTGGGTAACATGGACTGGCACTGCTGGCATTGGGGACCTCAGGGAACCCCACAGCCCCCCTGTGCCCCCTCTCCTCCCTATCCCTGGGGTGTCAGGTCCGTGCCTGGGGCACTCACCCCACAGGAGCAGCGCCACCTTCCCGGCCATCCCGGTGTCCCCAGCCATGTGCGCTGGCTGTCACTCGCTGCTGTGGCCACCGCTCCCCTGACTGGCGGCTCTTTGGATGAAGGGGAAGGAAGCGAGGTCACATCTCACCCTCATGTGTAGGTGGCCCTTGGTGGCGGCAGGGTGGGGACAGGCTGGGGACACGGGTGGGTGGGACAAAGTGGGACATGGGGTTCCCAGGAGTGGGGGGCTCGGTGGGTTTGGGGAGACAGGAATGGGGTCACTGGGAAATGGGGGTGGTGAGGAGGGGGAATATCTGGCAATGGGGGTGCCATGGGAATGAACATCCCCAGAGCTAAGGGGACTCAGGGATGGGAGTCCCAGGGGAATGTGGGCTCCATGGATTTGAGTTCATGGGATGGGGCAATGGTGGGTCCTAGGAGGATTTCAGGGGATGGAATGAATGGGACAGGGTTCCTTGGGAATGGGGTCCTGGGCCATGTAGATACTGGGAATGTCAGTACTGGGAATGGGGCCACAGAGAGGGTGGGACATAAGGAATGGGGGTCCCATGTTTGGGTTCCCAGGGGAATGAAGGTGCCAGGGATGGGCAGTGGCTGGCTGAGCCCATGAGCTGCAGCTCCTTCCCTGGGTGCTTCAGATTTTTGGGTGACCCAGAGCCAGCACAGCCCCCACAAGGTGCCAGTGGCCTGGGGTCACCCCAGACAGATTTCAAGGGGCTCTGGGTCTGTGCCCCCCCAGCTCGCAGTGACTTTTCCCTCTCTTTATTTCCATTTCCATCATTTTACCCCTCAATTTCACAAGCCCCCAGTTTGTGCCTTGATCGTCCTTGGGGGCCCTGAGGAGGAAATGGGTTGGGGGAAGCCCAGGGTGGGGGAAGCAGGGGTGAGGGGTCTGCAGGGAGGGCTGGGGAAGCTCTGGGGGATGGGGGTGTCCGGCTGTGCCCCCACCAACACTTTCACTTTCTCTCTCCTGCAGAAGAAGGAACAGGCCATTTGACACCTTTGTCACACTAGAGGCCGGTTCTGTCCTGGGGGGGTACATCAAGGGGCGCTCCTGTCCTGTGGGGATCCTTTCCCGGGGGGGCACATGCTGGACTAGGGTCTCCTGTCTGGCCGATGGAAGCTCTGGGGGATTCCAGACTTTCCATTCTTGCTCGTCCCCTGCAGGATCTGAGCCAGCAAGAGCAGCTTGGGAATGGAGCCCCAGGCAGGAAGGAGCTCCCAAACTCCTGCTCCTTGAAGCCAGTGGCCAACCAAGGGTGGGGCCCAGCCATGGCCCAGCCCCACTGCACAGGGATGGCCATTGCCCGGCCCTGCTCTGCCCAGCCCCAGGGGGCAGCCAGCACCTAAGTGTCCCCCCTGCCCCCTTGGCTTTGATTCTGGCAGCTTTAGAGCTGCTGCAGAGGTGAGAATTCTGTGGGGGGAAAAGGCCCTGCCTGTGGTTTGCTCAGCCCTGCAAGAAGCACAAAACCAAAAGGAGCCCAAGCAGTGGCTCTGTGAGGGACTTTAATGGTTTTCAGAGAAGGACTAGCTGGAAACGCCAACCGCAGGGACCGCTATGGGGGAACCAGTTCAGCAATTGATCATTTGTTCCTCCTTGTAAGGGACTAACAGAGCCCCAGAACTACTGCAAAGAGAACAGCAATCTGCTCAACAACCTGTCTTGGACCCTCCTTCTTGAACAAAACCAGTGGCCTTCAGGAACCTCATGGAAAGAATGCTTGAATTTGGATTGTGGCCACCAGATAAGTCAGAAATGTGTGGAAATATCGTTCAATGGTTCTGCCCGTGGCCATGGTGGGGCTTTGGGGAGTGTCCCTGTCTGGATTCCAGGTGTCCCCAAAGCTGCTCCATCCCTGCATTTCTCACCTGAGTGAAAGGCTGAGGGTTTGCAGGAATTGTGGTGTAAAGCCACCAGAGGTGCTGCTGTGGACCTGAGACCTGCCTGGGGTCAGGTGCTGCCTTCCTTCCATTCGGGATCATGGAGAGCGGTCGCGGGTGTTGCGCAGGGCGTGTGCCTGGCCTCAGGACACTGCTACGCTGCCACTGGGCACTGGGATCCAACCTGCTGCCTTGGCGGCTTCTGCCCGCTGCCGGTGGTGGTGCCGGGACCGATTGGTGGCCGTGAGTTTGCAAAAGGAGCGATTTCCCCTCCTCCCTCCCGCCCGAGGCCGCCATGGCCCCTGAGGGGATGGAGCTGGAGCGGGGCGCCCCCTGCTGGCCGGGAGTGCTCCCTGCAGCGCCCCCTGCTGGCCGCGGTTATAACTGCCACAAAACCCAACAGCGCTGAGCGGGAGGGAAAGTTCTGGGTTTGTGTTGTTGGTTCTGTTCTTCTTTATAAATTTTATTGTAACATGCTGCTACTCTTTTTCCGACATTTTTACCTGGAAGCCCCATTATTGTTGAAATTAAAGAAAGTTTTAGACATGGGTCTTCTTTCAATTCCAAGAACGTTCCCACTTTCTTTGGTAGATATTTCCCATTTAAATGAGTTGCCAACTCCTGGCTTCCAGCATCGATGGGACAGACACCACAAGAGGAGCCCGGGTCATGGAATTGGCCACCTCATGCTCTACCTTTTAAGCCAGTTGGGCCAGCAAGGGTCCTCTCCCCATGTTGCACTTCTGGAAACCCAGCCACTCAGGAGCTGGCTTTGGCAGAGTATCACACTGTCCCCAGTATGCCAAGGCTGGAAGACAGTCGGACAGATGGGGCCCTGTCTCATGAAAAGTAAGGACTAACCCACCCCTGCTGCACACAGGTGTTCCAAAATGTCTCCAGACATGAAACTTTTCCTGTCTCTGACACACCACCCTGTGCCATGGCGTGATCAAGACTGCTCTGGAAAAGGGGGAGGCTCCAGAACCCCCACAGGGCATTTGTGACAACATCGTGTGGGGAACACAGCAGAGAAGGAGTTAGGGACAGAGGACCAGAGAATCCAGAGCCTCCTGAAGGCTGCTTTTGCCATCAGGTCAAGGAAGGTCCACGGCCCTGCCAGTCTGGGGGAAATGTCTTAGGTCTGTTCCTTTTCAGGCCTTTCCCTGGAAATTGCTCCTTTTGTGACCATTTGGACTCAGAACCTTGTTGCTGTTGCTGTTGGTTTTATTGTCTCTCATTGCAGTTTCAGGAAATTGTTCTTCTCTCAGCCCTTTGGGATCTTTGTGCCCCCATGGGGAGGGATTGGGGCAGTTTTTAGTGGCAGCACACACACGAGTGCCCCCAGTTCCCCCCAGTGTCACAGCACATTCCCGTAGATGTCACCGGGTTCCCGGGGTCGCCCCTGGGGTCCCCGCAGCTCCGCGTAGGTCACCTGGGGATCCTGGAGGGTGGTGGCATGGGGGGACGCTGCGAGAGACACGGGCTGTGGGATGTGGGTGGGGTGACACTCGTGGGTGACGTGTCCCTCTGTGTGTGTCCCCCCCGTACTCACCCCCTGCCCTCTTAGTGACCACGACGTGGGTGTACAGCACCTACCCCTCCTCTGGGGGCCGGGGGATCCGGGGGGGCCCTGAGGGAACAAAGGGGATGTGGGGGAGGGAATGGGAGGTCTCTGGGGGTTGGGGTAAAAGGAGAGCGGTTGGTTTGAGCCCCCCACTCACCTTTCCTGCTGCTTCCTGGCAGCAGCAAAGGAAAGAGGGGAGGGGAGACTGTGCGGTCCCTGGGCCATGACCTCTCTCAGGATTCCTGAAGGTCCACCAGACCCTCAATTCTCCTCAAGATTCCCAAGTACCCCTGGAGTCCCCCAGAATTCATGAACCTCTCCAGTGCCCCCGACCACCTCAGCCTCAAAAACCCAAAGCCAGGCAGGCACAGAGATCCCCCTAAGACCCCCAGGTCTGCCGAATATACCTGCAACATCCCTACAGGACCCTCTAGCACCTCTCCAATCCCTACAGGACCCCGAACCAAGGTCACAATTCTGAAGCTGTGGGTGCCACCCTATGGTTCCCCAACTCTGGGGCCTCTCCAGCTCCCTGGGGCCTGCATCCCCCCATTGTCACCCACCCACACAGTGCCACCAGTGCCAGGCCACAATGACACCCACGAGCAGGAGCAGGAGCAAAAAGGCCCCACCAACTCCTGTGGCCACTGCAAGAAACAGTGGGGGACACATCAGGGTCACCATCCCCCCCGGGGGTCACACCACAGAGGGGTGCAGGGACAAGGGGAGTGATGAAAGGACCCAAGAAAGGTGTCAGGGGGACATGGACATATCCAGGCAGGGCACCTGAGGAGGCTTTGGGGGCTCCCCATGCCCATCCCTGCACTCACTGTGCACTGTGCCGCGGAGCCGGGCGCTGCTCTTCCGCACGCCCCCCCCCCCCCCTTGGAGTGCAGCTGGCAGCTGTAATTCCCCGAGTGGGAGACCCCCATGGCGGGCACCAGCAGCTGCGGGGACCCCTGTGGGCCCCCACCACCTGCCCATCCCAGTAGAACACGTGCAGGAGGGGGGCTCGGGGCCGCAGGGGCCTGGGGGTGCTGAGGCAGCTGAGAGTCAGGGAGGACCCCTCGGTGGGCTCGGGGGGAACCTCCAGCACTGGCACCAACAAGAGCTCTGGGAAGGAGAGGGAAGGTGAGGACTGTGACTCTAAGTATAGTGGGAAGTGGCTTTGGAGGTGTCAGGAGATTGGAGTTCCAGCCGTGCGGGTGCTCACCGTGCACTGTCACTGTCACTGCTGCTGACCATTGCATAAAGGACTCCACCAAGCCCCCGCAGCTGTAGCAGCCACTGTGGTGCAGCTGCAGGGGGGACAGGGACGGATCAGTCCCAATGACAGACCCCCTCAGATCCTTCTCACCCTTGTAAAATCACACCCTGGTGACCATGTTGTCCTGCTGGCCCCAGCAGTGCAGTGTCACCGTGTCCCACTCCATCAGCGCCCATGCTGGCACCTGCAGCACCAGCTTGTCTGTGGGACAGGAGGTCCCATCTCACTGAGGGGCTCGAGACAGGTCCGAGGTGTTTCCCCATGGCCCCGGGGACATCTGGGTGCACTGGGATGTCCCTCTGGGCAGGGTACAGGCTCTCGCCAC